ATTCTCTTCACCTATTTTGCCAATCTTCTCATCCACTTCCCCTCTGGCAACCACCAGTTTGTTCTCTGTATTTAAGAGGTTTTTTTTTTGTTTTTTTTTTTTTGTCTGTTTGTATTGATACATTTGGAAATATATTTCTTAAAATATATATTTTTTATTTTTTTCCATTTTATTATTGTTTTATTTTTTTTAATATGAAATTTATTGTCAAATTGGTTTCCATACAACACCCAGTGCTCATCCCAACAGGTACCCTCCTCCATGCCCATCACCCACTTTCCCCTCCCCCCCCAACCCCATCAACCCTCAGTTTATTCTCAGTATTTAAAAGTCTCTTATGGTTTGCCTTATTCCCTCTGTAAGTTTTTTTTTCCCTCCCCCTTCTCCTCTCCCCTGATCTTCTGTTGAGTTTCTCAGGATCCACATATGAGTGAAAACATATGGTATCTGTCTTTCTCTGCCTGACTTATTTCACTTAGCATAACATTCTCCAGTTGCTACATATGGCCAGATTTCATTCTTTCTCATTGCCAAGTAGTATTCCATTGTATATATATATAAACCACATCTTCTTTATCCATTTGTCAGTTGATGGACATTTAGGCTCTTTGAAATATATATATTTTAAAAACTACTCAGCCTGCATGATTTTTTAATGTGGAAGGTATTCTGTCACCATCAGTATATTTTATTTTAGTAGTGGTCTGGTGACTCCATTTCTTAATGAATAACACGTACACATACATACACAAACATACATGTATGTATATATTCCCACACACATATATACATTTGGCATAGTCTGCTAGGGAATATGCTACTGTAAATATTAATGTTATTGGCAAGTGATCAGACTTTCTAGTCTTCAGTGATATTTTTCATCATCCAGATGAATTTTAACAAAATAAATTCCTTGTGTTTAAAGGTCTGAAATTCTTAATTCATTTTTAGGCTATTTTCATACAGCTGCCGTAAAATTTTTGGTAAAGCCATCAATTGTTGAAAAATTATTCTATTTAACATTATTCATATTAAAATTCTATTTCTCAGGATTGGCATAAGATCATTTTTAAGTAGAGCACCAATTATTGTTCATTGTCAGCTACCATGGTTCCTGTCGCCCTGTTGGGGATCATGTGCCTGTAGCCTCGGGAGGAGAACCACCGTTTGTGTCAACAGTGATAATCATTTCTGGTCATTAGGAGCTCAGGGTAGCATTCGTAACTAAACACTGAACAGGAATTAGGATGATGGTACTTAATCTCACATTTATTTCTCTTTCAAGAATTAAATAAAATCTGTTTCATGTAGTTTGACATTTTATCCTGCTTTTTTGTAGAAAGGAAGATGGTGAACAACACGTACAAATGAAGTCCTTCAGGTACATTAAATTGTGAGATTGGCACGTGGTGGGTGGAAAAGGCTGCACATGCAAACCTTTAGCCAAAGTGAAAGGCAACATCAAGACAGAATTGGTTCACGAATATGAGGTTTTTCTATCTACTTTCTTTTCTATCTACTTGAATAACATTTTGTCTTAAGATGCCTCTAAATTTTTCTTACAAGAGCTGTTTATTAAAATATTTCCCTTAAGCACTAGAGAAGAGTGGGTTCCTTATATAAACAAATATAAATAAATATATAACCAAATATAAACAAAATATAAACAAACGATTACTTATGAGGAGCTTCTGATGGTTAGGAATTCATCGTCGTAAAATTCTCTGTCAGTTGTTTCAACGTAGTCTCAACATCAAGAAAAATTTTTCTAGATCTGGCCACCTGGCCGCATCTCAGTGTTGCTTTTTCGTCATTTATTCTGGCTTTTGATGTGATTTACAAAACTCTGGCATGGGTCAGAGTGGCAATAACAGTACACAGAATTCAGAGCCAGAGCCCTGCTCCATTATGAAGTGAGCACCAGTCTCTGGGAAGCATGCCTTTCCTTCATAGGATCGTCCAGATGTCTTGTCAAGTGCATCTCCTTGAAGAAAAGAACTTTATTCAAATGCTAGCTATTGTGCCTTCCTCTGGGTTCCCTGGTTCCTACCGTCATCATTCATTGTTCTCCACAGTGGCCTTGGTCCCACCTGTCCTCACCTGTCTCTAACCCACAGCTCTGAGAGCACCCTGTCTGCTGTACAGCCGAGGCATCGGGCATCTCTGTCCATTGCTGTTGTCCGTGCTGGTGGGTAATACGGGTAGAAACAAGAGGTGATCATTCTAACACGAGGATAACTATAACATTCTTCTAATCATTAAATTTTAATCTAAAAATTACTCGTGAATAGACCAAAGTATGAGTGCATAACTAAATTTTATGTGAATACACATATAATTTTAATTCCATCCCGTTCACTCAAAAGGACATAGTTTGTTCCAGGAATGGCATTACCCAAGTGTGAATGGTTGCGGGGAGAGGGAAGTAGTATCTCCATCAGTCTCCTTTAGTGTTCTCCCCACCCCCTCACTCTTTTATGTAGAAAAATTACATTTTCTTTCATCTAATTTAAGGTTGCCGTAGGGGCGCCTGGGTGGCTCAGTCGGTTAAATGTCCGACTTCAGCTCAGGTCATAATCTCGTGGGTCATGGGTTTGAGCCCTGCATCAGGCTCTGTGCTGACAGTTCAGAGCCTGGAGCCTGCTTCAGCTTTTGTCTCCCTCTCTCTTTCTGCCCCTCCCCCACTCACGCTCTGTCTGCCTCTTGCTCCCAAAAATAAACATGAAAAAATTTTTAGAAAATAAAGTTGTTATAGAAATAGCTCCAAGCAAGTCTCCTACTTCTTACCCATCAGATTGTCCTTTGAAAACTCTTCTTACGTGGAAATTCTGGAGTTGCCATGATCTGAGTATTCTAAGAAACAGACAAATGCTTACAGTTAAGTGTGAAGAGTAAAATAGCCTAATTCTTGAAATGTAAGATCCACATTTTTCCCCTACATTTTCCCAGCTGTGAAAAATGTCTTATCAATGGCATCTTCCTGCTAATTGGCAGCGTTTTTCTTGCCTTCTGATGTATTAACACTGAATTTCCAACAGATGGTGGCTTAGGTTTGGTGACATATGGTAACAGTATAAAAGGTACTGAGGTAGTGGAGAGAGGGAAGTGATTAATCATGCAGTAGTCATAGAAAGTTTTCGGGAGAATAACAGAGCTGGGTTTTGAAGAAGTAGGATTTTTCTATGAATATAGAAGGGAAGGATATTCTAAGCCTAGTAAAGAGCAAGTCAGTGGAGATGTGAGAGGACTTGGCATGTTTGAGGACTAGCAAGTCATTTGGCGTTGCTACTAAATAACACTTGGAGAGGTAGGGAAAGCATGGAGAGATGGAACTAACTGAGGGCACAAGCCAGGGCATGGTGAACCTTGAGATGTCATTAGGGAGTTTGGCTCTTCCTCTTAGGCAGTGGAAATGTATTTAGCAGCTTTATGCGGTGGAATTCGATGACTTCATTTGTTTTAGAATAATTTTGGAAGCGGCGGTTTGTATAGACTGGAAGAGGAAGACACTAGAAAGTATAGCAGGTTAAAAGGCTTTTGGGGATAGTGCAGTGAGCTATCGCCTAATGAATTAAGGTGGCGACCGATGGATGGAGAGGAAGAGAAGACATATTTAAGAACTAGAACCTATAGGAATTTGTGATTATGTGGTTCCTCAGAGTAAAGAAGGAAGGGTTTAGAATGACCCTAGTGATGTCAGCAACCAAGATAAACTCTATGAAAGGAGTAAATCAGGGGTAATGGAGGAAGGAGAAATAAAATGGGGCAAATTGCAAAGAATGTATTCAGTGTGGGATTACTTGAGGCTTAAGGCGCTTGTGAATCACATAGGTGTGTAATTCAAGTTCTGAAGGTCGGGGCCTGGGTGAGGTATGAATGAGGTAGGGATTTCCTAGTAAGCAGCTTATGTACAATTGTAAAGTCTTTGCAGAAAGGAGGTATCTCAGGGTGAAGCTGTAAGGTGAGGAAAGAGTATAGCCAAACAGGGAATCTTGGGGACACCACTGTTTAAGGATCGAAGAGCTGATAGAGAGACTAAGGGGGGACTGAGCTGAGCAGGAGGAATGCAGGAGCAGGAACGGTCCCAGAAGCCGGAAAAAGAATAAGAAATGTCAGTACTGTCAAATTCAAGTCAGGGATCAGCAAGGAACTGCATAAAATAAGGACACTAGAAATAGTTTCAGTGGGTCAGTGTCTGTGGGAGGTTGATTTTAATAGATGGAAAGCCTGTGAAGTGAAAGACATAGTGGAGATGGTGTTCTTCCCAGCAAGCTGGCTGAGAAGGGAAGATGGCAAGGAAAAAAATCCCTAGAATTGGGAAAAGGTTGTTTCCCCACACCCCCCGGATGGAGAGATTTGCACACACTTGTAGCCCCATGGGAAGGAGCTGTGGAAGAGAGTGACCTTAAGATGCTGATAGGTGCCGGGGCTCCTGGGTGGCTCAGTCGGTTAAACTTCCGACTTCGGCTTAGGTCATGATCGCACAGCTTATGAGTTCGAGCCCCGTGTTGGGTTCTGTGCCGACAGTTCAGAGACTGGAGCCTGCTTGGAATTCTGCGTCTCCCTCTTTCCACCCCTCCCCTTCTCTGTCTCTGTCTGTCTCAAAACTAAACATTAAAAAAAAAAAAAGATGCCGATAACTGCTGATGATAATACCCGGGAGGAGTGAGCTGCAATGGAAGGCTACTCAACTCTTCCTCTGAAGACAGGAAGTTATAAAACTACCCGCGTGGTTCTCAGACACATCTTAATTCTTGAAGGCTTGCAGAAATAAGATAGGGAGGAAGGAGCAAGGGTAGTTGGTGGGGTGAAAGCTCCGTGAATGAGCACCGTCCCTGTGCTCAGCAGCGCCCTCCTCTTCCCTGAACTGCCAGTGCAGGGCCAGAGTTGGGAGCTAGGACCGCGTGTGCTTGGGGACCTCCTCTGGCTCCAGCTGGTGCCTCTGGGGGAACCGTGGGTCTGCTCTTTGTTAAAATAAAGGAGGTTCTTTTCCTTCTTAGAGAAGCTCATAGTCAAACCGAAAAGCGGAGGAGAGATAAAATGAATAACCTGATTGAAGAACTGTCTGCAATGATCCCTCAGTGCAATCCCGTGGCACGTAGACTGGACAAACTTACGGTTTTAAGAATGGCTGTCCAACACGTGAGATCTTTAAAAGGTGAGTTTGGAAGTGGCTTCCACACTTGGATTTGTGAAGTCCTCCCTGTAATCAAGGTACTTGATTCATTCGTTCTGTTGTTATTGGCTACTGAGATTCTGTGCAGATGTGTCTTTCAGCTTTATAGGCATCAGTTTTTTTATAGGCATCAATCTTGATACGTGCTGATATTCTGTATGTGGAGAGAACACGACTCTAGATATCGAAAATCTTGGTTTCACTAAAAGCTTTATCTTAAGTGCACACAGTACATTTTTCCATTTGTGTCATCTTCCAAGTCTTTTATCAATGTCTTACAGTTTTCGGAGTATAGTTCTTCCACTTCCTTGGTCAGATTTATTCCTAGGTATTTTATTATTTTTGATGCAATGCTAAATGTAATTGCTCTATTAATTTCTCCTTCTGCTAGTTATTAGTGTATAGAAGGGCAATGGATTTTTGTATATTGATTTTGTATCCTGCAACTTCACTGAATTCATTTATTAGTTCTAATAGTTTTTTGGTGGAATCTGTAGGATTTTCTCTGTGTAGTATTTTGTCATCTGCTTATAGTGACAGTTCTACTCCTTCCTCACCAGTTTGGATGCCTCTTCTTTCTTTTTCTTATCTGATTGCTGTGGCTAAGACTTCCAGTAATATGGTGAATAAAAGCAGTAAGAATGAGCATCCTCATCTTCTTCCTGATCTTAGAGGAAAAGCATTCAGCTTTTTACCACTAAGGATGAAGTTAGCTCTGGGTTTGTCATTTATAGCATTTATTATGTTATGTTCCCTCTGTACCCACTTTGCTGAGTTTATCTAAATATTGTGTTTGCCAAATGCTTTTTCCTGCATCTGTTGAGGTGATCATACTATTTTTATCTTTCATTTTATAACATGGTGTATTTTGATTGATTTGCAGATACCAAACCATCCTTGCATCTCTGGAACAAATCCCACTTGATCATGGTGAATGATCCTTTTAATGTATTGTTAAATTTGGTTTGGTAGTATGTTGTTGAGGATTTTTGTGTTCTTCAGGGCTATTGGTCTGTAAGTTTCTTGTTTTGTAGTGTCTTTGTCTGGTTTTGCAATCAGGGTAACGCTGACCTCATAGAATGAATTTGGAAGTTTCCCTTTCTCTTCTATATTTTGGAATGATTTGAGAAAGGTAGATATTAATTCTTCTTTAAATGATTGGTAGAATTCAGTGATGTAGCCATCTGGCCCTGGACTTTTGTTTATTGAGAATTTTTTGACTACTGACTCAATTTCATTGCTGGTAATTGTTCAGATTCTTTTTTCCTGATTCATTTCTGGAAGATTGTAGGTTTCTAGGAATGTATCCATTTCTTCTAGTTTGTCTAATTTGTTTGCATAGAATTTATTGTTCTAGTCTTTTTTAATGCTTTGCAATTTTGCAGTGTTGGTTGTAACTTCTCCTCTTGCATTTCTGATTTTGTTTGATTCTTTTTCTTGATAAATCTGGCCAAAGTTTTAACAATTTTATCTTTTTAAAGAATGAACTCCTAGTTTCATTGATCTTTTCTGGTTGTTTTTTTTGTTTGTTTGGTCTGTGTTTCATTTATTTCCACTCTGATCTTTATCATTTTCTTCCTTTTACTAACTTTGGGTTTTGTTTGTTCTTTTTCTAGCTCCTTTAGGTATAAAGTTAGATTGAGATTTTTCTTCTTCCTTGAGGTGGGTCTGTATCACTATAAACTTACCTCTTAGAATTACTTTTGATACATCTCAGGGATTTTGAACCATTGTTTACATTTTCATTTATCTCCATGTATTTTTTCCTTTCCTCTATGAGTTGTTGGCCCATTGGTTGTTTAGTAGTGTGTTTTTTTAGCCTCTACACATTTGTGTTTTTCCAGGTTTCCTTTTTTAATTGATTGCTAGTTTCATACTGTTGTAGTCAAAAAAGATGTTTGATAGGATTTCAGGTTCTTTTTTTTTCAGTCTTAAATTTATTGAGACTTGTTTTATGGCCTAACGTGATCTATCCTGGAGAATGTTTCACGTGCACTTGGAAAGAATCTGTATTGTTATTTTGGATGGGATGTTTTGTGTATGTATATCTGTTAAGCCCATCTGTTGTACTCTGTCATTCAAAGCCACTGTTTTGTTATTTTCTGTCTAGGTGATTTATCTGTTGATACAAGTAGGGTGTTAAAGTCCTCTACTATTATTGTATTACTGTTAACTACTCCCTTTATGTATGTTCGTGTTTTCCTTGTGTATTTAGGTGCTCCTATGTTGGATGCATAGGTATTTACAATTTTTATATCCTCTTGTTGGAGCATTCCCTTTATTACGTAATGGCCTTCTTAGTTTCTTGTTATTTGTTTTGAAGTCTATTTTGTTGATATAAGTATTGCTACCCCATCTTTTCTTTTGCTTTCATCTGCATGGAATATCTTTTTCCATTCCTTCATTTTCAGTCTGTGTCTTTAGCTCTGAAGTGAGTCTTTTGTAGGCAGCATATAGTTGGGTCTTGTTTTGTTACCCATTGAGTCACTCTATGTTTTTCGATGGGAGCATTAGGTCTATTTACATTTAAAGTAATTACTGATAGGTACATATTGGCATTTTAAAAATTGTTTCAGGTTGTTTTTGTAGTTCATCTCCATTCCTTTCTTCTTCTGGTCCCTTCCCTTGTGATTTGATGACTTTCTTTAGTGTGATGCTTAGATTTATTTGTCTTTATTTTCTGTGTATGTATTATAGGTTTTTGGTTGTAGTGACCATGAGTTTCATATATAACATCCTAGTATAGAGCAGCCTATATTAAGGTGATGGTCAGTTAACTTTGAACACATTCTAAAAGCACTACATTTGTACTCCCCCCTCCACATTTTATATATATGATGTCACAGGTTACATCTTTTTTATTTCGTGTATCCTTTGATTTTTATAGATATAATTTTACTACCTTTGTCTTATAACTGTCATTCTAGTTTTATAAGTGGTGGATCCACTACCTTTGCTACATAGTTGTTTTTACCAGTGAAATATTTTTCTTTCATAGTGTTCTAGTTATAGCCCCTTCTTTTCTGCCTAAGAAGTCCCTTTAACAAAAAATAGTACTTTCAATCACCTTCCTTAGATTTCCACATGTGGTAGAACAGTGGCTTCTCCACTCTAACCAGTTGACTGTGTGCAGATCCGAAGAGCAGGCGGTGGGGAAAAGAACGTATAGCCTTGACCCCTTCAATGCCATGCAGAATGGCACAAGCGTGGGGATACTGCTTGGCAGGCTTCCTTTTGGGAGTGTGACTGGAGGTCTCATTTTCATAACTGTTGTGAAATAAGATTCTCTTTTACCCACAACTGGATCTTGCATAAGTTGTATGCAATATTTCCTTTAAGTCTTTTGGCAGTGAACATTTGCAGGCTCAACTGAGGTCGTTTGATTGCAACCCTAAAATTACCCAACAATTTTCACATTTGTAAGGCCCTGAGGGAGGCGGACCTAAGGGAAAAGCCACAAATCTATCGATTAATTCAACAATCATGCACTGGGCAGCAAGTAGCTTCCTGTCTATGCTGGGAACTTGAAAAGGAAGCAAGATCTCTATGCTCTAGGGGTTCACGGTAAGCAAGAGCAACAGACCCCGGCAGAGATCATTAAAACCTAGTGTGATAAATGCTACAGTAGAAGTATGAGTGACAGGAGCAGCAATAGAAGCTCCGTGGGGATAAGACACTGTCTAAATCCAGAGCAGATTCTGTGGCATGGAGCACAGGTTTTTGCCCTGGGCCCTTCTAAGCTGAAGTGTGGCGATCAAGTACTCCTCGCACATCCTGAGCATACCCTTTAGTCAGTGCTGCCCACAAGTGAGAGGACTTAAGGCCACTGGGTCTGTCTGCATTCCAGGGCATTTACCAGCATATACCCCCAGCTCGCACCACAAAAGCCTAGACACGGAATCATCAGAGGGCTGCAGGTGGATCGTGTTATTTGGGTCCCTGCGTAATTACTTTAAAGACAGAAGGATGGTGAATAATTTTTTGTACTATACTCTCAGCAGTGCTTCTCAAATTAGCTGGGTGGAGGACAAGTGTTATCCACTCCCATCCATTGTGAAATACACTTAATTACTGGAAAAAGGATCGGGGCTGGGATCCATAACAGTGTCAATTCCATAAGGGTCTAAATGCTTGTTCTTAGTTTCTGTACTCACCTGCCACAGTTTGCTGCTGACATTGGTCCGCAGACCACACTTAGAGTAGCCCTTCTTTTCATCATGTGCCTTCAGAGAAACTGTGGGCATTATATGTGTGCAGTCATAACACTGGGGCCCAGTAGGGTACAATGGTACATGCATATAGTCCCAGAAGCAAACCTCCTGGGTTCAAATCTTGGCTCTTCGACTTAAGAGCTGTGTGACTTACTCCCATTATTTAACATTCTAATCCTCAGCTTCTGTATCTGTAACAGGGATGATGCACTTACCCGATAGGGTCGTTGTCAAGAGTAAAGAATAATATATATAAAGGACAAGCACAGTGTTTACTCATGTTGGAGTTGGTAAGAGGAGGAGGGGGAGGAATAGTTACTGTGATTTCGATCATTTTAACCTAATGAACACTGTCATAAAGGTGAGCAACCATGTTTCCTCATTGGTTTTTGCCAGCAGAAATCTGAGAATCCAAATTCATTATCCCTCATTGGCACATGTACAGAATGTCACGGCATGCATTTTATTAACACCTCACCCTAGCTTTAGCTCTGCCCTTGCTCCCCTCATTTTCTCAAGAGCACGTCCTCACTCACTGTCAGGACTCGCCTATTCTGGCCAATTTACCCTGACAGGGTTTCCCCAGCATCCCTCTGCCAACCTTGCTTCAAGCCAGACAAGCATTTATCACTGCTTTGCTCAAATTGATGTATTGCTGTACCCTGGCCTGGAATGCAGTCTGTATCTTTCAGCTCTTTCTCAGCTTCCTCCCACCAGGTTGCTGTGTAGTAATTATAACAAGAAATCGTTTGAGGGAATTCTTGGTGGCCTACCTAGAAGATAGATTCTGAAAAATAGATTTTTTTTTTTTTTTTAAGAGAGAGAGCATGAAATCTGGGGAGAGACAGAGAGAGAGAAAATCTTAATCAGGCTCCATGCTCAGCACAGAGCCCCACATGGGGCTCGATCCCATCACCCCGGGATCATGACCTGACCCAAAATTAAGAGACGGTCATTCAACTGACTGAGCTACCCAGGTACCCCTGACAGGTTTTCGTTTACTTATGCAAGGCTCATAATGGTGCCACCAATCTGAGAAAACGTTATCGAATCATACCATGAGGTGTGATTCCCTCCTCCCCACCCCCCATCACTTAGGTATTTTGTGAGTTTGAGCTGCAAATCATCCAAGGACCACTATGTAGTTAAAATATCTCAAGGTAGAGGGGAGGACCCTCTCAGGGCATTAACCCATCTTTCTCTTGCAAAACCAACTTTTCTTGCGATCCTCAGGAAGAAGGCTTGGGGTTAGGGATGTTGAGAAGTAAAAGGGAGGGAAAGTTGATTGACCTGTGAATCACCCTTGCCTGGAGGTTATCTAGAGATTGGGCACCTAGGCTTGGTGGACTGTCCCCTGCGCCCCCTTGTGGCCACAAAGGGCTTTCTCCTGTCAAGGTGGGTAGATACCTTCAGGGCAAATGTGATTTGGTGCTTCCCTTACTTCTCTCATTCAAACTTTGACCTAGGTTTTGACCTGCTGATTCCTTATTTTGCCAGCTGTTCAGTTACTTTAATACAATATACTCTGTGCTTAGGGCTTGCATTATTTCGTTTATATTTTATACATATTCGTATATTATCAGAAGTCTCCCTATGATTTTTAAAGAGCTATATGGAAAATTTTATGAATCCATAGAAATGGTTTAAAATTCCACAGTTTTCCTCTTTGGGGTAATTCACATGATCAGTTTTAATAAGCTAAGAAATTACAGAAATAAGTAGATCGTTGAATATTGTTGCATGTTGTAGTGTTAGAGATATCACTCTTTTTAAATTTTTTTTTTTTTTCAACGTTTATTTATTTTTGGGACAGAGAGAGACAGAGCATGAATGGGGGAGGGGCAGAGAGAGACACAGAATCGGAAACAGGCTCCAGGCTCTGAGCCATCAGCCCAGAGCCTGACACGGGGCTCGAACTCACGGACCGCGAGATCGTGACCTGGCTGAAGTCGGACACTTAACCGACTGCGCCACCCAGGCGCCCCGATATCACTCTTTTTAAATACAGCTCCTACTGTCTACACATCTAAGTATAAGGGAATAAGTAGTTCTAAGAATTTACAGCATAAAAGCAGGACATTTCAATCTAGTAATAATGAAAGAATGATCACAATAAGGTCTTAGAAAGTGCTAAAAGAGAAAATACCATTTTCAATATTGGCAGGAGCAACAGTGCTAATATTCACTGAGCACTTACTACGTTTCCAACTCTACACTATTTTCCATAACTTTTGGATTTATTTTTAGGTATGACTAATTCTTATGCAGGAGATAATTATAGACCTTCATTTATTCAGGATAATGAGCTCAGACACTTAATCCTTAAGGTAAGTAAAGAGATCTATTTGTCTAAGCTGCGTTTGTCCTTTCTACTTTGCTTGAGTAGGACACAGACTTTCTTCAGTTTGCTTCCAGTTGTAAACACACGGGACTCTCTATTACACCACATTTCCCTTAATACAAAAATAAGTTGCACAAGTAACCGTGCCTTAGCGTGGGATGATGAAAGTAGAGACGGGGTAGGTACTTTCCAATGTACAGAGCAAAGCTTGTCTTTAATGCTAAACTTACACCACCTACTGCACTCACCTCCTATGCCATGGGATCTGGTCCCCCATCACCACCACCTTCAAAGTCATCTACTTCATATCCTATTCCTTCAGGATTCTGTTCTCTGAACATTAGCCAGTTACTATTATGAGCTATCAGTTGATGCTTTGACATTTCTGTTCTCATCATTACACATGCATGGGTTTTCAGATTCACTGGTCTAGAGGTTTATTTGACATGGAAAATATGGCCATGTCATTGGCTTATCCTGCCCCCAGGAGGTGATAAGTGTCTTGATCTTGTGCTATGACTCCTGGCCTTTAAGCCGCAGAATGATTAAACAGAAAGATTCTTTTTTTTTTTTTTTTTTTTTTTTTTTTTTCAACGTTTATTTATTTTGGGACAGAGAGACAGAGCACTTTATGAGCGGAGAGGCAGAGAGAAGAGAACACAGAATAGGAAACAGGCTCCCCGACTCTGAGCCATCAACCAGAAACCCGGTTTCGAACTCACGGACCGTGGATATTGATGACTATTTCAAGTTGGATGCTCAAGCCGACCCTACACATGCACCAGAAGCTAGGAATTCTTTATATATATATATATACACTTGTCCCTTTTTCTTCTAATTTTTTTTAAATATGAAATGTATTGTCTGGTGGTTTCGCATACAACACCCAGTGCTCATCCAACAGTGCCTCCTCATGCCATTACCCACCCTCCCCCAACAACCTCAGTTTGGTTCTACTCAGTTTTTAGAGTCTCTTATGTTTTGGCTCCCTCCTCCTCTAACACCTTTTTTCTTCTAATTAAAAAAAAAAGACCTGTGTTTATTATTGAGAGACAGGCTGAGTATGAGCAGGGGAGGGGGCAGAGAGGAGACACAGAATCCAAAAGCATCCAGGCTCTGAGCTGTCAGCACAAGAGAGCCGATGGAGCTTCAAGACTGGAAAGTCATGACCTGGATGGGAGTCGGACTCAGCCAGCTGTGACCACCCAGGGTGCCCCTCTTCTAATTTTTAAAAGCTTGTTGGGGGAGACAGTGGGAAGGAGAGCAGGGTGGGGCATAGAAAGGGAGAGAGAGAAGATCCCAATGGGGCTCCCATTTGTAAATGCAGGGAGCCTGGCGGTGACTCAAACTCCTAAAACCCTGAGACATGACCTGAGCTGAAACCAAATTCGGACTCAGCAGCTAGACACCCGGCGCCCCTAAAGGCCCTTCTTTTATTTGAGCAGCTGTATGTATGTATTTATTGGGGGGGTGGGGTGGAGAATGGCATAGAGAGGAAGAAAAAGAAAGAATTTTAAACTGGCTCCCACATCAGTACAGAGCCCAACTCAGACTCCATCTCATGACCATGAGTTCATGACGAGAGCTGAAATCAAAAGAGTCAGACAACGTAAGCAGTGAGCCACCCAGGCACCCCTGAACAGCTGAATTTATATTCCTGATATGAAATATAAGGATTTTTTTTTGAAGATCAAATTTTAACAAAATTAATTTATTTTTAGCAGTTTATTTATTTTTTTGAGACAGAGACAGAGCATGAATGGGGGAGGTCAGAGAGAAGGCACAGAGATCGGGAAACAGGCTCAGGCTCTGGAGAGCTGTCGCCTTACAAGAGCCGATGGGGCTCAAACTCACAGACAGAGATCATGACCTGAGGCAGTGGGACACTCAACCGACCTTCAAGAACCACCCAGGCCCCAATGTTTATTTATTTTTGAGAGAGACAGAGCATGAGCAGGGGAGGGGCAGAGCGAGAGGGGGACACAGAATCCAAAGTAGGCTCCAGGCTCTGGGCTATCCTGGCAGGGGAGCCTGACATGAACTGAACCCCACAAACCTTAAAGATCATGACCCAGGCTGAAATCAGGCAGCAACCGCACTAGGCCACCCAGGTGCCCCGAAGATGAAGATTTTTAAAGTTAGAAAAATGTATAATATGCTTTGGAAACTTTCTCACCAATCTTTAGGTGTTTCTTTCATTCATAATATATACTGGTTCTGCCCTTATAGAATATGTCTGCCTAAGTCACTTCATGTTTGTTTCCAGTTAGTAGAAATTAATCAAGGAAATGTCCAATGGAGTGCCAGACTCATCCTGTGTCCATACATATCCATTTCCATATAGGTTGCTTCCCAAAGGATGTCCTGGGCAGATTTCAGTGGGAGTAGCTGATGTTAGAATTTTTTAAATTTAGTTTTAAATGAGCGGCACCTTATCATAATTCAAAAAGTATATCTATCGTAGGATGTCTTCTCTTTTCCTTGTCCCTAGTCTACACAGTCCCTTCATCTCAGAACATCCTCGGGAAAGTGTTATGGATGTGTTTTGATATCTTTATAGTTTCTGTATGCGGTATAGAATTTGGTATAGGTGTTTTTTGTATTAGAAAATCTCTCAACCATATATTCCATGGCTAAACTTTCCATGTCAAAAACGAGTTTAGATTGGAGTTCATTCAATTTGATGTTCCTCACAAATCCTTTTACATCTTAAGAAAATTTCCTAATTTTACTAGCTCTATGAACACTCTTAGTTTTTTTTTGTTTTGTTTTGTTAAGTTTGAGAGACACAGAGAGATTGTGAGCGGGGTAGGGGCAAAGAGAGAGGGAGAATCTCAAGCGGGCTCTGTTATGTCATCACAGAGCCTGATGCAGGGCTTAAACTCATGAACTGTGAGATCACGATCTGAACCAATTCAAGAGTCTGATGCTCAACCAACTGAGCCACCCAGCTGCCCCAACCACTCTTAGTGTTATCGCTACAGCAATTTCACAGTCTCTGAATGTGTGTAAGAAAGAAGATATTTAAAAATATTTACTTTTATATTTTTAAATCCTAGACTGCAGAAGGCTTCCTATTTGTGGTTGGCTGTGAAAGAGGAAAAATTCTCTTCGTTTCAAAATCAGTCTCCAAAACACTTAATTATGATCAGGTATCCAAAACTGAGGATATTTTCCGCCTGATGTTTAATTTTTTTGAACAAACACTTATTTCTGGGTTCTCTTCCTGAACCCTGTCTCCCCACTGTGCTGGGGGCTAAGGTTTGCTTGATTAGAAGAACCCCAAGAGAGATGGAAAGATGTATGGAAAGAGTATGGGTGTTTATTACTGACAAGAGTGTTCACTTCTTGACCTCCAGCAAGTTAATCTTCCTGAGCCTGAACTTTCTCTTAAGTAAAAAGGGGAAATGGTGGTTACATGGGTCTCTTAGGATGTAAAGACATAGCTGTCATATTTGAGACTGTCTGAAAAATGTTAGTGGCCCTTCTGTTTCCTCCAAAAGACAGCATTATTATATATTATTAGGTTATATGCATTGCATGTTAGCTTTTGCTCTAATCTCTGGCAGCAAACTCTAAAATACATCTTTTATTTATCTAGCTTTGTAATCTCTTTACCTCCTCATTCCTGAACACCATTTAATTTAAATTAATAAATTAATACTTGCCAGTAATAAAAAAGTTACTCAAAAGCTATAGCACTAACAATAATCCACCAGAGTGAATAAACTAACACCTGTGATCTCCTTTATTCATTTTAAGTTTATTTATTTATTTTGAGAGGGAGAGAGAGAGAGAGAGAGAGAATCCCAAGAAGGCTCCTTGCTGTCAGTGCAGAGCCTGACGTGGGGCTTGATCTCATGCACCGTGAGATCATGCTGTGGTCTCCTTTAAAATAGAAATCAAATTGACCACGGGTTTAATCTTAAATAACTCCCATTAATTTCACCTATTTTCTCCCCAAACATGAAAATTTGGAGAGATACAAGATTCATAGATAAAAAGAAGAGGTGCTGCGAACTTACTTATGGAAGGAGTAAGAACCCAATGAATCATACAGCTGGTTTTAGCTGCCTAAGGGACACAAAAGCAGGGCAAGACGTGGTTATTTTCCAACAGAAGATAGAGAACACCATGCACACACACATGTGAAGATAACAATTCAGGATAGCACATAAGTTCCAAATTAGTGACATGGAATCCAGTCCCCCTGGGCACTGACTACTCAGGAGGACTTTGAAATCCCCACCATCATACGGGGTCTGGTCCTCAGCTTTTTAGACTCATAAACCAGGTTTTCTTTGAGGCAAAGAGTTATGGGTATAAACTTCTATTAACCAATGACACAGTAGATTGATTTATAAAATGCTAGTTTTAAAAATATGAGATATCTAACTGCCACCAGGCTAATTGTATCAGCTGGTCCATTTGTTCTGCCTTCTATAATATCTACCTAGATAATAAAGGATTTCACAAGAAGGGTAATCACTGTGGGTCAGGGAAGGCTTCACATACAAAGTAGAATGTCTGCTTAGGCTTTAAGATGAGCAGACAAGGGAAGGAAGACATTTCAAGTTGAGGAGGGAGTCTGGGGAGTAAAAGGCAATTGACTAGAGTGGCTAGGGAATTTTGAGTTTGTAGAGAAAGGAGTAATGAATTCTAGATGATGAGACCATACAAGTAAAAGCATAGAGTAGGAATGCTCTACATATTGGGAGAAGGGGAATGGGAAATGGAAGGTGTTCCAGGTTTGATTTTTTTTTTAACGTTTATTTATCAGAGAGAGGGGGAGAGAGCAAGAATCCCAAGTAGACTGCACACTGTCAGTGCAGAGCCCAAGGAGGGGCTGGATCTCATGAACTGCCGGATCATGACCTGAACTGAAACAAAGCGTCGGACACTTAACTGACTGAGCCACCCAGGCACCCCAAATTCTGTTTTTTAATAGTATAGTGATTTTTTTTTAAATCTGAGTCACACCATAAAATTACAGATTCTCTGTGACTTCCATATTATATTATAATGACAATCTCTTTACTTTTACCACGTAAAAAAAGTTTAAATCATAATAAGATTTAGAAGTAACAAGTGAATTGGGGGATGTTCACAAGAGTCCACTGAACATTAGTAATTACGTGTCTGTGATTTGTGTGTTTCCAGATACGGTTTTGTGTGCATGTGTTTCTATCTACAAGTATCACCCTGCTTTTAACACTAAGTTAATGTCACACAGTGCAGTAGATGTATTTTTGAGCTTAAGAAAAAGCCACTTTAACAGTTTTTACCGTACATTTATATGAAGAAATGTAGAAAAACTGTGGTACTAATTTTAAACAAACATCTACCTTATAAATAGGCTAGCTTGACTGGACAAAGCTTATTTGACTTCTTACATCCAAAAGATGTTGCCAAAGTAAAGGAGCAACTTTCTTCTGATATTTCACCAAGGGAGAAGCTGATCGATGCCAAAAGTAAGTGCTCATCTCAGTATGCCTGTGATTTTATGTAAATATGATACTTACTTAAAAGCACAACTATATAATATTTTGAAAATTAGGCAATTATGGTTTTATAAAGAGGAGATTTAGTAAACTTTACAATCATTAACCTCAGAGCTCAAAAAAACAGTATAACTAGAGAATTCCTTCATATTCGTATGAAGATGCTTTGGGGAATATGTGATTATTTCATATTCACTATTTTTCATATGCTAATACAATCTTTATAAGAAAGTATCATTTGGGATTAAAAAAATTGCAGGAGTTTCCATTATTCAGCTACATGCTGATAAACAATTCTCTTTCTTATATGGGTTAGGTTTACTCAGTTTGAAAGACCTTGGTAACTGTACTTTGGAAGTGTAAATATTGTTTATCTTCTCTGAAAAGACCTCCCTGAAAATGTTTAGTGCCAAACAATTATTTATACTGTACTGATGCTTTATGCCATTGATTACTACTATAGTTAAGGGGTTTTTTTCATTAAAATTTTTTAAAATTTCATTTCTTTTAGATTTCTTTTATTTTTACACCCAGGGCAAAAAAAGGAAGATAAATTACAAGTGTTTAGAAGGTATAAAAATATGATTCCTTGACAAATGCTCTTTTTGGTATATTTCACTTTGTGGTTTACTGTACAATGATGCCATTGCTTTAACCATTTTTCTTTTTCAATTTTCAACACATTTGAAATGTGTCCCTTGACATTTCTTATCTATATGAAAAATTTCTTTTCCACCTGTTCTCCTGCCCCCTCCTGCTATGAAAGCTGATTTGCAAGTTCATAGTAATTTCCACAGTGGAAGGAGTCACGTGTATTCTGGCTTGAGACGATCCTTTTTTTGTCGGATAAGGCGTTGTAAAATCTCTGTCAAAGAAGAGCATGAATGCTTATCCACCTCAAAGAAAAAAGGTATCATCATCTTAAGATGTCAAATGATTTAAGGCATGCGTATAAAATTAGCGTCCTAAAAACTTTCTATACAGAAATAATAAAGTGTATGGGCAAGGCAAATAATTGAGGCCAAAAGCATCAAAGGAAATAAGATTGTTTTTTAACCAGAATTACTAAGACTGGCTCATCATATCTTTCAAATTTATCAGGTAATTACATATTTTATGTATTGCCCAAGTTTTTAATGGTGCTGTTGGAATCAAATGGGAAGAAATTGAAATAAAACTTTTGTTATGAAATACCATTGTTACTTTTAAAATATAAAAGGTAAGTCCTTAAAGAAAAACTGTAATAGTACAAGAGCCCGATTTGATTAATTGGTGAAAGTTTCTTAAGATGTTTCAATTCTTTTAGTTCTTTGGTAAATATTTCTAGTTCTGTTTTCTTCTGATTCTTTTATAGGTTTGTCCTATTTACATTTTGAACTGAGTTAACACTCATCTATTTTACTTAACCGAGAAACTCCAGGGACTACAAAATGTCTCACACTTTTTTGCCTAAGAATATATTAACCTATTATGTATAGGATTTCCTATGCAAATTTTAATGTGAGATTTGCTTTCATATCCTTTAAAAGGATATTTATATAGGGGCGCCTGGGTAGCTTAGTTGGTTAAGTGTCAGACTCTTGATTTGGGCTCAGGTCATGATCTCACAATTCGTAAGTTCAAGCCCCACATCTGGCCCCTCACTGACATTGTGGAGCCTGCTTGGGATTCCCTTTCTCTCCCTCTGCCCTTCCCCAACTTGTGCTCCTGCTCTCTAGCTCTCTCTCTCAGAATATATAATATTTCAGAGATATTTATAAAAATCTCAGGATAGTTCTATAGAGCTGGAAGATTCTATTTATTTACAAGTTTTGGTAAGTCTTTTTTGGTGACCACCCAAAATGATAATCACTAAATACTTATTAAGTATATTTCTGTGCCAGATCAGATACTGTGCTAAGTGTTTTAATTCCCACGAAAACACTATTCTTACCCCTGATTTAGAATCAAAGAAGAGAGACTTGAAGAGATTCAATAACTTGCAGAAAGGGAACTAGGCAAAACTCACACTCAAACCTAAATCCCCTACTAGTCTGTTACACTCTAAAGAAACATAAGTGGAATGAATCAGCAGTCATAAGAGAGGAACTGTTTTAATCCATCAATTGCTGCCCTCTTGCCCTTGGCTCTGAGTGCAAGAGTTGCCCCCTGGGGGTGAAGTCACAACTGACCTGGTAATGAAGAGGCTGTGGAATCCAGCTGACTGTGATCAAATTTTGCTTTATCACTTGCTAGCTCTGTAGTAGTGAACAAGTTTCTTAATTTTTTTTTTCAATGTTTATTTATTTTTGGGACAGAGAGAGACAGAGCATGAATGGGGGAGGGGCAGAGAGAGAGGGAGACACAGAATCGGAACAGGCTCCAGGCTCTGAGCCATCAGCCCAGAGCCCGACGCGGGGCTTGAACTCACAGACCGCGAGATCGTGACCTGGCTGAAGTCGGACGCTTAACTGACTGCGCCACCCAGGCGCCCCTGAACAAGTTTCTTAATCCCTCTGAGCCAAGTTTCCTTATCTATAAAATGAGATTATTCACAGGATTGTATGTTTTGTGGAGTAGGTAAGTGCATTGATTCTGGAACCAAACTGTTGAGGTTTAAATCCTAACTTGTGATTAACTTTGTGACTTAAGATAAATTACTAAATCCTTCTGGGTCTTACTCTTTTCAACTATAAAAGGAAAATTATAGAACTTCCTAGGGTAGTTATTAGGATGAAATGAGTTAATACATGTGATGTGCTTACCATGGTTCTTAGCATAGTAACACTAGATAAATGTTAGGAGCTGTTATGAGTATTACTAGAAGTAATGCATGTAAACTCTTAGGACCGTGCAAGCAGATGGTGTTGTCATTACCTCAGGGTGCCTGTTTTCTCTGCCTTCCTTCCGAAGTCAGCCAACTCATCTTATAGTTGACATTGCCATATAATGTAGAACTAGTCTCCAAGGACAAGAATATTCCTTCTGCATGGATGGTCCAAGGAGTCATGCTCCATGTAGACCCTGGACTGTAGTACATTTTACCCTTAGGATTTAACTGGAAGTAAACCAATATCATATTGGGTAGATCCAACCATAAGTGAATCCCTTAATCTATACAGCAATCCATGTGAGAGAAAAACATGGCAGCCAATGCAACTGCTTTAACATGACCGAGATCTCGGTGGTGTTTTACACAAGGTGTAAGTTGAGTAAAGTCTAAAATTATCAGGTTTTGTAAGTGTTTTAAAGATTAATGGTTCTGGTCCAAGATGGCGATATAGGGAGACCCTGAACTCACCTCCTCCACAGACACACCAAATCTATGCTTATTTATAGAGCACTTCCTCCTAAAGAAGATCTGAGGGCTGACTGAACAGCTTCTGCACAATACAAGACCACATACAGAATGGCACAGTTACGAAGGGAAACCCTAGCCGACACTGTGAACTGTAGTGGGGAGGAATAGTACTGAGGGACTCTGAGGAGATTTTTCTGCCCTGGGACACACAAAAAAGCCACACTTTAAAAGTGCAACTAGAATATACAGGAACGAGCCCTACAACCCTGTCAAATGTCAGGGAGCTACTGGAACTCTCTCCAAGTCAGAGAGGCTAATGAACATTATGGTTCACATTCCTCCTCCAACTTGATAGTATGGATGAGAGCAGAGTCTGGGTAACCTAGCTGGCCTTCTGCCTCATTGAGCCCCAGACCCCTAGTCTACACCAGCCGGGTTGTCCCACTAAGGCAGCTCCACAACAGTGCAGAACAGGACACCCATGGTAACCTCACTACAGCTCCAGCTGCTTTGCCAAGGTGACACAAGTACAAAGCACACTGGAATACTCCAGGCCCACATCACTTCAGTTCCAAACAGTTTGCTAGGGCATCCTGGCGCTCTGGGAACACCTGGTCCATACCCATCACATCATTTGCTCTGCTAGAGCAACTTGTATGCTGAACCCTCGCATACTGTGGCTTGCACCCACTTCAGCTTCAGCTATCCTGCCTGAGCATCCTCTGTGCAGAGAGCCCTGAGATCACCCCAGCCCATGTCTACACTTCAGTTTCAGCTATCCTGCCAGGATTCCCTCTGTGCAGAGAGCTCCAGGACCCACTAGCTGGTATACACTTCTCTTTCAGTTGTGCTACCAGAATACCTTCTTTGTGGAGAATCCAGGGACCTCCCTAGCCTATGTCCACTTGAGCTGTCCCACTGGGGCACTTTCTGTGCAGATGGTCCTAAGTCCACCTCAATTCATGCCCAGTTTAGCTCTGGCATCCCACCAGGGCAGGCCCAGCATGGAGTGCCCTAGGACCCCCACTGACACCAGCTACAGTTCCAACCAGCCAAAGTCGCCAGATACAGAGTCCACACAGGGAATGACCATACACAAGACCACTCCTTCAAGTTTAGGAAAAATAGCTGTTCTACCTAATTCATAGAAACAAACACAGAAAGTCAGGCAAAATAGGGAGATAGAGGAATGTGCTCCAAATGAAAGAACCTCAGAAAAAGAACTAAATGAAATGGAGTTAAGTAATAGGCCTGTTAAAGGGTTTAGAGTGACGATCATAAAGATGTTCACCAGATTGGAGAAAAGAGTGGAAGAGCTCAGTGAGAACTTCAACAAAGACAGAAAATATAAAAGAAAACTATCAGAGGTGAAGAATACAATTTCTGAAATGAAAAATACACTAGAGGGAATCAACAGATTAATAGATGCAGAAAAACGGATCAGCAGTCTGGAAGATAGGGTAATGGAATGCACCCAAGCTGAAGAGCAAGAAGAAAAAAAGAACTTTAAAAAGAGAGGATAGGTAAGGGATCTCTTCAACAACATCGAGCAAACAAACATTCACATTATAGGAGTCCCAGGAGGAGAAGAGGGAGGAAGGGAGGGAGAGAAAGAGAAAAGAAAAGAAAAGAAAGAAAGAAGCAGAACACTTATTTGAAGAAATCTCTATTTCAGGGAAGGAAACAGCTGTCCAGATTCAAGAGGCACAAGAGTCCCAAAGAAGATGAACCCAAGGAGGTCTGCACCAGACACATCATAACTAAAATGTTAACAATTAAAGATAGAGAATTTTAAAAGTAGTGAGAGAGAGGGGTACCTGGGTGGCTCAGTCGGTTGAGCATCCGACTTTGGCTCAGGTCATGATCTTGCAGTCTGTGAGTTCAAGCCCCACGTCAGGCTCTGTGCTGACAGCTCAGAGCCTGGAGCCTGCTTCGGATTCTGTGTGTCCCTCACTCTATTACCCTCCCCTGCTCATGCTCTGTCTCTCTCTCTGTCAAAAATAAATAAACATTAAAAAATTAAAATAAAATAAAAGTAGTGAGAGAGAAGTAATGTGCCACACAAGGGAAACCCCATAAGGCTATTGACTGATTATGGAGTTGAAATTTTGCAGGCCAGAAGGGAGTGGCATGATATATTCAAAGTGCTGAAAAGAAAAAAAAAAATCTACAACCAGGAATACTCTACCTAGCAAGGTTATCATTAGGAATTGAAAGAGAAATAGAGTTCCCAGACAAATAAAAGTTAAAGGACATCATCACCACTAAACTAGCATTACAAGAAAAGTTAAAGGGACTTCTTGAAGTGGAAAAGAAAAGGCCATACTTAGAAGAAAATTATGAATATCAAGATATAAAATATGACAACATATAAATAAAATGGGGAAAGGAGTAAAAATAAATATTTTAGAATATGTTCAAACTTAAGTGACCATCAACTTAATATGGGCTGCTATATACTTAGGATATTATATATGAACCCCATGGTAACCACAAACCAAACAACTGTAATAGGTACATATAACAGAAAGAAAGCCAAGCGGGGCGCCTGGGTGGCGCAGTCGGTTAAGCGTCTGACTTCAGCCAGGTCACGATCTCGCGGTCCGTGAGTTCGAGCCCCGTGTCGGGCT